GAGAGAGAGAGAGAGAGAGAGAGAGAGAGAGAGAGAGAGAGAGAGAGAGAGAGAGAGAGAGAGAGAGAGAGAGAGAGAGAGAGAGAGTGGTAACACTGTTCCCCAAGTTGTATGTCGCAGTGGAGATGTGTTGAGGCATATTCATGTTGATTGCATCATACGTTTGCCCTGGTATAGAATTCACGTGCACCGTCTGTAGATGAACCTTTCAGAGAAATTCAGAGAAATTCAGACACGTCCAGGTTCCGATGAATGTGGGGGCTTTGCACACATGCAAGAGACACATTTGCAGGCTCTCTTCTTTGAAGGCTCCCAATTATTGCCTCGATGCCAACACCACGGATGCGATGAAAGCATCCAACACGATGAGATCATTCGTGATGAGTATATTGCAGCACCGTTGAGATCAGTAGCCAACAATGAGGCGGTAATTGGTGACAGTCCCTCCCAGTTGCGCAGATGTCGGACCGCAACTCCTTCACGATGCCAACGAAAACTTTCCAGATCTGAATACCAGGCACCTACTCTGGGTGCCCCACAAGCTGCGAACACATCTCTTCGGCAGCTACAGCCACACTTTATGCCCAAAGTACCAGTCGATAAAACCTTGAAACGACCAGGCAATCTGACGAAACTCTGGTAAGCATACATACAGGTTATCACAGCATCTTGACTGACCGACATATAGCCATACATCGAAGCCTGTGGCCAGCATCTTTGGCATGCACTTTTTAATCAACACTGTGGCTATTGGCACACTGACACCCTGCCTTATCTCTGCTTCGCACTCGAAAGGACACAAATCTCCACCGGCTCTTCGTCCTACCTTAGGGCCACTCAGTGAGACAGTCTTCGGCAATCTGCACCTCACTCAAGGGCTCGTCACCCTTCAGTCTTGGACCTGCATAACAGGCCCGCTCACAGACCTCTTGCAAGCAGCGCAATGGCCTCTCGCTCGCTCGGCTATGCTTTCCAAGGCATGATCAGGTCCCTTTGCTGTAAGGATAGCGATGACCAGGCCTTCGCTGTAAGGGTAGTAAGCTTTATCAAGCGAGCGGCATGCGGCGCTGATGGATTGTGCAAAGTGCTGAGGAGTCATCTTGGGTCTCAAGTAGAGTGCACACTCTATTCGAGGCTCTATGCCACACACAGCGGATTTTACCACCACCTACTCTAATCTGCCACATGGCGGGATCCTTAACAATTTTCGAACTGCTGTTCTATAGGACAGGAGGAAAGTGAAGATGTACATGACACTGGGAGGTCCTCATTGGGGGGAGCGTGTTATTTCAGATGGCTCTGACACTCTCTCTGTATCAGATATAGGACAATATCTGTGATTTGTGGTCTCTTAACACTTACGGTCTATGCATCAGATGGCACTCTGCACCATCCGGCGGTCGGTATCCCTATGGGCAGTAATGTCGTGTACCAGAAATTGTCAATCCCAAGCTCTATTGGGGCGAGGCATAGTTCATCGATGAACTTTGTCAGTGCCATCTGCACGCAGCTCAAGTATATGCATTCGTGTGTCGGTTTCTCCTGCTCGTTATGGTCTTGACTCTTGAGTGGAAAGACACCACTCAGGAAGATTGGGTTAAGTCTCTTCCTTGGGGCAAGAATCTTGGTTCGGCCAGATGGCTCACGTCTCATTGGCCTGGTTGATAAGACTGAGGCTTGGACATTCCCTGTCATACGCTATCCCGGGGATTTCTCCAATGCACCACAGCTCATCACCCCGCAGGTGTGCTCATGGGAGAAATTTGTGACAGTACTACCGTCTTCACTGCTGCATGGACGTCCTTGACGCAATGGGCCTTGCTCCACTACTCACCAAATGCGCAAAATGAGAATGAATGTTCCGCTAGAACATGCAAAGATACACCACCATATTCTTTTCTTTTGTGCATGTGGAGAGTAGCGGAGTGAGGGCCAATGTCTGTTCGATAGGTTTCATCCTTCCAGTTGTCCTGGCAGAGGATAGGCTGCTTATATGCGTGGTAGCGTCGGCTGCCCGCCCATTTCGCCCCGGCTTACAAAATGGTTTTGCCTGATGGTTCACCAGTCACTCGTTGGCCCGCTGAGCGCACGCAGCATCATCCCTTTACACAGCCGCACTCCCTCCCTGGTTATTACTACCGGACTGATGATCATTTGATGAAACACCCAAGTGGAGAGGATCTCTTTCCAGAATGCATGCCAGAGCACACGGAGCTAATACAGCCAAAGGGTCCTGACAGTCACTGTATAGACCGGAATGAACCTCCCGTTGCCGTGCGATCTACAGAATCAAATGCTCTCACAGTGCTACAGTGAGGCCACTGTGCGTACTATGCCGTTAAGGTCCGCCTCCTTGCTTATAATTGCAAGGCCTCTGATTTTGTCGGCATGGTCCGCTGGATAGAAGAGGAGCACCGTGCTGTCTGCCCAGAGAATGACACTACTGTGGCTGGTGTGTGAACATAGAGGTAGGGTCTGTGACATTTATGCGAAGATGACTGCAAGTGCAGCCCACTCGTCAGAATTATATGCCTGACATGGACCCGAATATGCATGTGTGCATCCTGCATCACCCGGGTCATTTCAGTGCTGTTACCTTTGTGGATAACTCATGGACCCTGTAGCGCGCTGGTGGTAGGGTGCACTCACTGGGAAATATTACCTTTTATTATCACCGAGTGAAAGAATCCTGCTTGCTGTGGCTGGTCAATTAGGAACAGTATGCGGATGCGCACTCGTAATCTCTACAGCCTCTGGAGAACTCTCTGGCTGACCCTCTCCCCTCCCCTGAAGGTGGCCAGGCTGCATCCCTTGACTGTGCAGATCGGACGGGTTCGTCCACGGACAGTGGAGAGGCCCCTCCAAAGGATGGTGGCTGCGCCATACCCCATTGTGTCTCCACACGGGCGCAGTTGGGTTAGCATGCACACAACAAAATCTCTGCTCCCTATGCTATGAAGGGATGGCTAGCGGCAGCCTGTGCCGCGAAAGCTGC